TGCTTGTGGCATATAGGCTCAAGGATACCCAAAGCCATTGGATACGAACTCACTAGTCTTCTGGTTACTTTGGTGCCTACAATTCTATGTATATTACATGTTTCCCTTCTCAATCATGGCAGGAATTCTTGCCCCTAAGAACAAGCTGTGATACCTTCTCAAAAGGTAGTATTCACTTGCTGTCAATCTGGCCATTTCTACAGTGACTTTCTTCTTCCTAGAGTGGCTTCCTTTATAGCTGGATCAATCCCACCATAACTTTTTAATTTTTATTTTATTTTTCTATGTAGCCCAGCTGGCTTCAAGTTCATGGGGATCACTCTACTTCAAGCATCTTAAGTGCTGGGATTATAGGGCTGTGACAGGACTTTGATACCACACCTACAACTACCACAATGTCTGATTTGAGTAGTCAGGGCAGGTGAGCCAATAAGTAGATCTCTAGAATTAGTCAGAGGGCTGCCTTGTATCTTCTGGGCCCTACCATTCTACAGCTGTTGTTAGGCCGACCAACAACATAACTTCTCTCATTGCTGCCCTGTGCAGAGCTCCGCAGTTTCCCATGCTTGGGCTCCTCATATGTGGGACCAGAGACAGTTGTAGGAACTCCCAGGCCCTGAGTACATAAAACTTGGAAGTGCACAGGAGTTCGTAAGACTCAGGGCAAATTTAGGCTCATGAGAACAGAGGCTGGAGGTCAATTTGGAGACGCAGCATACGAGATGTTTCAGATGATCTCTTTAGGTTCCTGCCCAGCTGACCATTGTGGTGACCAACAAGGGATGTTTCCTCACAGTAGCTTCCCTGACCCAGCCCTTCATCCCACTCTTACCTTTGGTATTATTTTCAAAATTAAGCTAGATGCATGCAGGCCTTTGCCTCCAACTGTGTTTTGGGAAAGAGCTTAGGGGACACAGGCTAGTCAGTTGGTTGAACTGACTGACATTCACTAGGGTGGGTCGGTGTTGCAGTTCGAATGGAACCGTTTCTTGATGCATCCTTTAGAGAAAGAACGTGGAGGTTGTGCGAAAAGCCCTGAAACTGGGAGTATGGCTTCAAGTTTTGCCAATGATTACTTTTGCGATCCAAGCTATACCGTTCAAGCCATCAGTGCCTGGTCTGCAAAATGGAGGACATGAAGTGGGTGTTGTCATCTCCAACGTGCCCTCCAGTTCCAGAACTGCACACTGGTGAAATAGAAGCACCTGGGCAACCATGTGTACAGTAGCTGTTTCCCCCTCATTAGCCCCAGGGATTGTTGGGACTGGAAATACGGCCATACTTTAATACAACTTTAGACCAGCACATGGATCAGTCCCCTGGAGGTCTAGATTAGAAAATGAGCTATTCAGAACCTCAGAAACAATAATGCTGACAGAAGGAGCAAGGCGCTTCTGTGGGAGTCAGCAAACATTAGCAGAGGCTGCAGCGTCAAGATAAGAGCAGAGTAATGAGCAGACAGTGGCATCCAGCTTCCCCGACTGCATCGCAGCGGCACTCAGTGATTCGTCCCACCCTGAACAGAGCGTGATAAATGGACACCAGCAGCCGACGCCCCTCCCCTCTGCCCCCCCCCGGCTTTTGTCCCTTTAGGAGTTACTCGGAACTTGGTTTAGAAAAAGTGCTTCTATTTTGAGAAATATAACACAAGATCTTGCAAGTGCCGGGAAGGAAAGCAAAAGCATCATAACATGGATTTTTTTTCATAAATCCCAAATCTTGGAGCATCAGTCTAGAAAAAGATGGGAGGCCATGACAGTGACGGCAGCCAGAGAGCCACAGCACACGAGGACTAAGTAGACTGTAAAGCAATGAGGTTGCTGCTGCCCCCACTCCTAAGATGTAAAGAATGGTATTGCCATCCCACGTATGAAGGAAGGCATCTCAGAGGAAGGCAACGCTTTTGATGACACATGGCTAGTTGGCGACAGAGTCTGGGCTTTTAAAACATGCCTCCTTATTTTAACTAAGACTTGTATTTGTTGGGCTGGGGAGACAGAAAAGTACTTCATCACACAAACATGGGAAGCTGAGTTCAGTCCCCAGGCTCCATGTTGCGAAGCTGGGTGTGGTGGGCACACTTGTAATCCTGAAACTAAGGAAAGAGGGGATCCTGGGGCTCGCTGGCCAGCCAGGCTCGCTTACTTGATAAGTTCAAGGCCAATAAGAGACCCTGTCCCCAAAACAAGGTGGATGGTATCTGACATTGACCTTTGGCATCCATGTACATCCATATACCTGTGTAAACCTGCACACACACACACACACACACCATATAAGATTTATTTATTTTTTACATTTATTGTGTGTGCGTGTGCACATGCGTTTGCCATGGTACATGTGTGAAGGTCGGAGGACAACCTGAAGAGGTTCTCTGTTTTAGCATGTGGATTCTGGATATCAAACCCAGCTAGTCAGGTACAGCAGCAGGTATCTTTACCCGCTGAGCCATCCCACGGGTCCTGTATGCACACTTCTGTATTTGTCAAGTGGAGAGGAGGCACAAGGCTAACAAATCTAAGAGCTCCAGAGGGCTTGTGAAACAAGTGCATCTGCTGCCTTTAGTCTTTTGACTGGACGCCCTCCCCCCAGAGTTTTCATTCATTCTTTTAACCACCGTGCTTTCATTTTCAAGAGCTTTCTTCTTCATGCTTCCTTCGGTTATTACTTGAAGCAACCTATTATTGTTTAATGGATACAGCATCTGGCTTCTTCAAGGGTATTAACAACTGGTTTTTCTGTGGTACTTTTTTTTCCTTTTCCATTTTGGTCTCTGTTTTTCATTAAAGGTGCATTAAACCTCCTGATCTTCGGTGATCTTCGGTTTCCTGTTTGTGTGTGTTGCAGTCAGGAATTAAAATGCTAATGAGGCAGAGAGAGAGAGAGAGAGAGAGAGAGAGAGAGAGAGAGAGAGAGAGAGAGAGAGAGGAGGGAGAGAGAGAGAGAGAGAGAGAGAGAGAGAGAGAGAGAGAGAGAGAGAGAGAGAGAGAGAGAGAGAGAGAGAGCGCCCTAACTTCAGAGCAACTGAATTCTGGGTTTTTATTACAGAAGATCCAGATCCTCGGTCTATCTCATTGAACCCTTGTTTCATTCTTTCATTCTCTACAGGTGCATGGCTACTCATGTCAGTTGGTGTGTGCCTTCTTCTTTATATTTAACCCTCTAATGACATTACAGTAGAATTATAAGGAGGAGAGAGAACTTTCAAGCCACTGGACTTAATGGGGTGACAGAATGAAATTTAAATCCAGGCCAATAACACAGCCTTTACTGCTTCCGCTGTTCCATGTAATAATCCATACAGTGAAATTCAATAATAGATGCCTGTGTCATGGACTGCCCACCGTCTACACCGATATCCCTTCTTCCTTTCTCTACTGTTAATAGCACTCTAAGGTTTTCTAGAAGAAGAAAATTTTCCTTCCTCAACATTCCTTGATGCTAGATATAGCCACAAAATCAAATTTTGAGTAGTAACTGGAAGTATTAACTGGCAGCTTCCAGAACACCTTGGAAGATGGCCTGAGCTACTCCTTGCCCCTTTCTTCATCCTTTCTCCTTGTTGGCTTGAAGGTGGGCAGTAGTGCTGGAACTTGAGCAATTGTCTCTGACTCACAGGTGGAAACTGGCATCATAGGAAGACAAAGGAAGCCTGGTCCATAAGGGCCTCATTAGCTGCCACACCACCAGCAGATTGCGGGTCTCTGTACTTCCTGTATGCAATGGAGAAACTGTTGCTTTGGGTTTTCTATTTCCTGCCATTGAGCCTAATTAAAACTGATGCAGTGTCAAGGTACAGTAAGTCCTGAAAGGGAAAGTGATAGGAGAGACAAGCCCTAAAGGATGGGTCAGTTCAGACAGAGGGCGAAGCACGAGGGAGATTGTATTCTCTACAGGAGTGATGATATGATGGGGACGTGGTATTGCTTCAAAGGACAGTATGTAGTCAAGTATGGCTAACACAGACCGACACTGTGGGTGAGAAATGAAAGATAATAATGCAAATAAAAAACTGGGGCCAGGGTCTGGAGAGATGGCTCAGAGGTTAAAAGCACCGACTGCTCTTCCAGAGGTCCTGAGTTCAATTCCCAGCAACTACATGGTGGCTTACAACCATCCATAATGAGTTCTGGTGCCCTCTTCTGGCATGCAGGCATACATGGAGGCAGGATGTTGCATTCATAATAAATAAATAAATCTTTAAAAAAAACTGGGGGCAGAGAAATGGCTCAATGGTCAAGACTGCACTGTTCATGCAGAAGACCTGACTTAGGTTTTCAGCACCCATATGTGGTGGCTCACAGCTGCCTGGGACTCCTGGCCCAGAGACTCTGACATCCAGCATAGGTAACCTATGCCAGGGTAATACAGACAGGAGGTCAGGAAGACAGTCTCAGTAGAGAGAGCAGAGCATGGGCTACAGGACTCTTAAAGGAAGAGGTATTAGAAACCTACAGAGGATCTGGAAAAGAAGAAAGAAATATTCCTGAGTATTGTGGAAGCAAAGAGTAGAAACTGACAGTGAAGCCTCAGTAAGCCTTTATGTCAGGAAAGCTAGAAAAGGCCAGAAATCTTTGGTGACCACTGACAGTACAATTTTGGTAAAAATGGGGGCAGACTCTGCTGTTCAAAGTATGGACTGGGGAGAGGGACAAGGAACACAGGCTGAAGTTTCTAGTCACCCTCCCATCCATGAATATTGTTCATCATCACCATCAACACCTTTACAAAAATAGGGTAACACCTGGAAACAGCTGTTGGAGGTAGTGTATGAAATAACATGACCAGAGAGGGTACATCAATCATAAGAAAGGCCTCAAACTTGTCACTATAGCCCCAGATCTTGCAGTGTATACACCATCTTAATGAGCTTCATTTAGACAAGGGAAGCCCTGAGAGCAATGCTGGAATGATATGCCACATTCAGTATGGACCCAGAAACTAATTAAAGACGAAATGTTAGTACCCATTTGTTAAACAGACTAAGTTCCAATACCTACTCAAAGTACAGTGTGAGGTCTGTGGCTAGTATGGACTGCTTCAGAAGCTGCATGAGGTCACTGTATTCCTTGGAGGACAAATTAGCAAAGATGTTGTGACCCTGTAATAAGAAGGTGGAAAGTCACAAAACACACGAATAAACTACGTGTTTTTCCTGTATTTTTTAAAAAGACCAGAACATGAACACAATTTAAAGTTTAGTAAAAGTTTTCATTTTGTATAGGTTCATTTTTATTTCTATTTGTGTGTGCTGTGTGTGGATGTGTGGACCCTTGTAAGTGTATTCAGGTGCCCACTGGGACTAAAGAGGGATCGGATCCTCTCAAGCTGAAGATACAGGTGGTTGTGGGGTACCTGACTCCAGTCGAACGCGTCATAAAAATTTTACAAATACAAATAGACATCCTGGCAAATAGCAAAGCCAGAAAGTGAACTGCTTCATGGGAGGTCCACCAGGGAGCACTTCATTATGTTTTTAGCATGGGCGGAAAGTCTGAAAATGTGTGAACTTGTGCTCTTATAGATACAGAAGTACATAGTGAAGAAGTGGACTAAATGCTTGGGAATCTTTCTGATCCCAAGAAAATAAATAATCTAATAATCTAATAAAGATTTAGTTGGCATTCTAGAGACACTTGCTATGGTGACAAGTGACTTCGAGGAAGAGCAAAGGTCATTAGACTATTGTGTCTCAATGGGGGAGATTTAGACAATGGAAGCTTTGGGAGCAAATAGAGACATTTTGGGACACTACTAACTGACTGGGACACTACTAACCTTTAATACCTTTAATGGGAGAGGTCAGAGATGTAGTTAAGCAACCTTCAGTGCACAGGGAATGCCACTCAAAGATCTCTCTGCCTGCTGAAGTGAGGAACTCTGCCTTGATAATGTGTGTGCTGGATTAAATGTCCAGCACTGGAATTTAGCTGCTGCACAGCTAAGATGAAGTCATTGTCTGGGCGCAGCGGGACTCTAATGATGACGTCTACCAAACAGAGGCTGCAATACAACTTTACCTCCATGCTACCGGAGAGTGTCCTCACTTGGCAGTTTGTTGTTAGTAAGGTGGGAAACCCTACAGCAATGTGACCATCATTTACTTCACATACTCCCCAAGTCAGGACTTCTTTGGTCTGCTTGACTTAGCATGAAAAATAAACTCATAAACATGTGGCCTGGGAACTGGATCAATTTGAACCTAGTACTGAGAGCCAGAAGATGGTAGGGAAGGAAAGGGGCCAACGACTTCTCAAGAACAAACTATTCTCCATGAGAGGTAAATTAATTTACCCAGGGAACCAGAGTATCAATTAGCAATTTCATTTTAATTATGTGCCAGGTGATAATCTGCTTTGCTGAGCTGATTTATCACATTGGGTGAACCCTCCCCTCCTGACTATAGGACGTTGGCTCCACCTGGGACCAGGTCCAATATTAATAGTAATTTTCAAGTACACTCTTCTAGACCTTTAAGTCAGCAGTGCAGAGGACAAAGAATTCAAGGAAAGCTGGACCATGATTTTGCCCAGGGTGTTTTCCTTCAGTTTGGCCTGAGCATCACCTCATGGGGGCAGTAGCAAGCAAGTATTCTGGAACCCAGGGGAAAAAGAAGTTTATAGCTTTTGGCAAAATGGATTCAGTAACATGTCCAGCATCACCCAGTGGAAGCAAGGCAGCCTTGGGAGCAAGTCTGAATAGAACCTTGCATTCAGACAAGAGAAGTCACTCGCACCTGAGGGTGCTGGTTATTCTGTGACATGCCTTTTACTGCTTTAAAGGACGGCAAATAGTAGGACGGCAAATAGTACTGTTCTTGTGGAATAGGAATCCAGCCAAATCAGCTTTAAGTTACAAAAGTTAGTTTGTATCAGTATATTATTGAATATGCAAACTGACCTTGAACAGCAACTCAAGGTTTAAACCTTAGATGAAATGAGTCTCTCACAAATGCTATGAGGGACTAGGTTTAGAGAGCCAGAGAATATGGTGTGGGTGGGAAATCCAGGTGTGGAGTAAGAAAGGCCTGAGGTAAACTTTTTCAAGCCCTCTAATCTCTGTACATCTGTGTAAATTGGAAAGTGGGACAGGGGTGACATCTGTCTTCCGGGTGGCAGAATGGAGTGGACATGGAGCCTGGGGTTCCCTGCCAGCTTCCATTTTCACGGGTCATTATCACTCAGAAGAAACTGGAGTGGAGGCTGACCAATGTGTCATGTTTAGAAGACCCAACCTGAGGGAGCTGGGCTGTTTATGATCCTCATGATGACAAGGGTGGTCTTGAAGGGCTCATCACATTTGGTAGCGAAGACAAGCTAAACAAAGGCATCGGCTATCCTTGCCTCCTCCGAGGCTCTCGGCTAACATGTGGTTTTCATATTCCAGAACCATAGACGACAGGAAGTTGGCTCCACCAGTTCCTGGGGCCCTTACTTAGGAGCTTTACCCCTAAATAAAAACACAGCACCTCTGGCAGGCTGCCCTGCCCTAGCCCACATTCAGGCTCTGGAGTGGCGGGTTTCTGTTATGAGGTTGAAAGGCTTTGGTGATATTACAAAAGACATGCTTTCTCAAGACACTCTAGAGAAAAAAAAGTCCATATTTAATGATGCCATTCCAGCAAAGCAGGGCCTTAATGACGATAATAACAATAATTAATGGCATAGCCAGAGAGCTGACAAATAACAGGGGACCGATGATCCCTTCCTGGCCACAAAAAAGTCTGTATGCCTTCAGAAAATTAAACAGATTCTTCCTGGCAAGTTAAAAACTCAGCTGCTGCAGGCAGAGCCAGTCAGTGGTTTCTGTCTTTCTCTGCAGAAAGAGACAAGTCAACACTCCAGTGCCTCTGGGTCCCACGCTGCCGCAGGAAGCAAAATAAGGCACATGACTCCTAGTCCCGGTCGTGGTGTTAGTAGCCATCACTCACCTTCAAATGCAGTCCTACCAAAACATTCAGTTCTTTCATCATTTTGTTATAGGTGTCTCAATTTCACTATCAAAGCGTGACTCTTACTGTTTCTACCATCTCTTTCCATGGCATTGGGTTGCACAAAATTGGGCAAGTTGGGCCACTCTGTCATAAACCATGCCCCTTGGTAGCCTGCATCCTTCAAGGGAGACAAGATGATGCCCTGGCAATAAGCAACCTCCACCTGGTACTCTGTAAGTGATTCTGCAAAACCTCCAGCAGAACCGGGTGAGCCAGCTCTGGACAGCCTGGAACGAGGTCTTCAGCATGTGACGGGTTCACAGAGGGCGCCAGGGTCTGAGCTAACTTAAACATGGCCTCCTATGTCTCTGGATTCACACATGTAAAAGCACAGAGTGAGGATCACTTAGCTGACCTTCTGTTGAGGGGAGATGTGGAGTAGCTCGTACCTCACTCTGAAGGATCATCACTGCATGGTTAAAATGGTGATGCTCCAAGGTCGCTGATGTCCCATAGAGCTGGGCCAGTGCAGAGTCACTCCTGAAAGAGAACAGAAGGCTGAGTAGGCAGGACCCTTCACCTTAACCATTGTCCACACCAGCTCTGTGGACTGCACTGCCTTTGGTGGTAGACTATGAGCAAATGCATTCTAGGTAATTTCTGCGGAGTTTGTCCATCTCTTAAACTATTCAAAACATTCTACAGGTTAAGATGGATGCTGTGGATGATAAATGGTTAACAAGGCACAGTCCTTGTCTTTAAGCCATTTGCAGACTGATGAGGGATGAGATGTGATTCTGAGCAAAAGTAAAACAGGTAGCTAACATTACAGATGCCAAGTGCTGTGTGTGTGTGTGTGTGTGCGTGCGCGCGCACGTGTGCTATAACTTTTGCATCTATGATCCATGTAAGCTTCATGAACTAAGACTTAGACATCTAAGCATGCACAGAAACTCTTGTCTTCAGATGTGCCTGACTCTCCACTGGAAAAGACATCTACTCTACATACACTGAACAACCTTCTGTTAGAGTCTCCTCACCCACAAGGTCCACTACCATTATCTTAGTGTAGAAGACCAGAGAATTCCATAGACCTGAAGTCACTGCTCTTCCTTCAGTAAGTAGCCTGGGGCAATTACTTGGCTTTCAGGCTCAGTTTCTTTGTCTCTTAAATCATGCCAGTACTATATGCCTCATCTGTTGTTTATGGGGCTACAATAAAATGCTTGAAAGTGCCTGTCATAGTGCCAGATAGTGAGTAGATAGCAGTCTATATTAATTATTAATAGATAATTAAAACACACATGGGCATTTCCATTTTAAATGAACACTGTGTTCGCTGATAGCTGAGGGGATTCCTTTGAGTTATCTGTAAATTTCACTTATGTAGAACCCATCCCTCACCAATGCCAGTTCAGTAAAGTATTTACTTTTAGAGCGTTTCAGCAGTTCACCTCCAACTGTTTCTTTGGAACTGGAGCCAAGAGAAACCCAGGGAATCAAAGAGATACCTAGGAGTCGGTTGAGGATCCACCCGGGCCCAGTGTTCTCTGCTGGTTTACTGCATGGAGCTCCAGGGTATTAAAAGGACAGTTTGGCTTTAACTCACAAATGACGGAGATTGACATCTTGTAGCTGATCCTGCCAGTGAGAGAATAAAAGGCTGCCCCTATACACAAGAAGGATTTCCATCCCAACACTAGAGGTGTAAGACAACCTGAGGTTGCCATCAGTTTCAGGGGTACAGAGGACCTGTGATCCTTGGAGAGACTCAGAGCTACTGCATCTTGGGGTAGCAGCAAGGTTAGAATGAAGGAGGGAACTAGATTTTAGTCTGGTGTGTGTTATTTTCTTAAGTCTTGCTTAAGTTTACTGCATCATCTAATAAGTAGACAGAATTCAGGCTAATCTTACTGATGGGTTAACATTTAAGGTCAGTTGTCATTTGTTATTACATAGAATGCATTTCCATGACAAATGCACACAACATGACTTTGACTTGGATGTTGAGCTTCTGTGTGCTTGGCATGGAGTAGGTGCTTAAAAATTACTTGCTTATGGTGCTATGTGGAGAGCTTATGCCTAAACTAGGGAGCTGATTGTAATATAAATGTCAGCATATTTTATAATATTTATATATTATGTATAATTTTATACATATATTTATACTTTATATGTATTTAAAATGTTGCCATATATTTTAAAATACATGTATAATATATTTTATAATGATTAAATTACTACTAATAATAGCCACCATCAGTAAGTGCCTACCACACACTAAGAATCACACTAACTGACTTCATGCATTGATAGTATTTTACCACATAAGAGGTAAGCCAGCTAGATGTTCACAAGTCACTTAGTGTTTTCTTTGTTCAGGATGGATAAGGGATATTTCCTTCCTTGGGCAGAGAACACTGTAGGAGGCACTATGATGCTTGCTCTGGGTCTTACTATTAGATTCTCTATTTGTTCCTTTCTATAATTCCATCTTACACTTAATAAATACGGAGTAGAGGCACAGAAAATATGTAAATTTTGAAATTGAACCATACTAATGTGGTTTCAGTGCAGGAAGACACTGGGACTCATTCATCCATTTACATAAGTGTGCACATATACCTAGCATGAATACACATACCTATCATTAATGTAGCCAACAAACACTGATGACTATTATTTTGTCAGGCCCCTGACATGTGAAATATAGATGTGTAATTCATGAATCCTACCTTCAGGAAGCCCACACTCTCCGAGATTTCTGTAGAATGCTTTCTCTGACCAGTCCTGTACTAAAATACTCAGCTTCTTGTAGGTAAGGAACCATCTTAGCATCAGAGAATGGAGCTGGCACTAACTTCAGGAAAGTCATTGAACCCCTGATTTGTACTATTATAGATGCTTCCTACCAGTATTTTTAAGACTCTCAAACCTCACAGTGCCTTCCTTCTTGGCCAAGGCTCACCAGGAATTTTGTCTGCCATGTTCTTACATACTCACACACTGTGGATGTTCTAGGAACACTGAGAACAAAAGCCAGTTTAAACAAAACAGAAAATAAATATAGTGGCAGAAGATAAACCATATGTCAGGATAAACTTTGTCAATAAACATTCTATAGACTATTACTAACTTGAAATGCCCAAAGACCTGACAAGCCGAAGTAAAGAGTGTTCCAATGTCAAATAACTCAGAGAAATGCTGGCTTTAAAAGTTCAAGCTACTTATTGTATGGGATTCCCTAGTAGCACTGATATGTAAACACATGTCCTGTGGTTCTACAGAGAGGGGCATGATATGCAGCCTTATATACTCTTAACTGACCATAAAATCGGTTCTAAAGAGCTCACGTCTTTCATGTAAAATACCCACTTTTTAAATGAAAAAAAAAAACCTTCCATCAGTCATATGAGAAGATTGACTTTAACGCTGTCTCTCATTTTGATTATCTATGGTAAATATATCCATCATATGGGTGACTTTGGGCGGAAATATGATCATATATACTTATATGTGCATGTATGTGTATACAGGGTGTATGGGAAGAGGGGGAGACGAAGCATGGTAATTCACAAATATGAGTATCCTGATGTACATCATTGCTTGGATCAACCCAAATACTAAATAAAGTCTTTGATTTTTAGACTCACACTACACAGAGCAGAAATGTATTGAAATAAGGGAGAATTCTGTTTCTACAGACATCATCGCTTCGTGTAGACACCCAAAGTCAGTGCACACCAAAGCACGCCTTCCTCACATCCTGGATGTGCATATTCTTTGAGGAAAAGAGCTAATGGCAGTGTGCAGCAGTGGCTTCGAGGAAACTTTTCAAAAGGCAAACTATGAAAGGTAATTAGGAAGCTGGGAATTGCTGGGAGGTGGTAAGGAATGGGATTAGGCTGTCAGGGCAGATTAATGTGCCCCAGTATTTCACTTCTGGGACCTGGCCGAAAGCGACAAGATGGGTTTTCATTCCCAAGAAATGAGTGTAAGAGATTATGCTAGAAATGAATAGAAGGAATCTCCTAGGAGAATATACTACAAAGCTGTGCCGTACTGATATTTAATCATCGGGGGCAGCTGTAATAGAGAGGGGGATGAGCGGGCAATGCTGTCCCTGGAGAAAAGAGAGAAGAGCAATTTCAGAGCACTGTGTGCTACTGGTGGCCTCGCTACCTATTGATCATTCACTGCACACTCTCCAATACTTAAAAATTAGGGATAAAATATGAAAATGCAAAGGTCCACTTATCAGAAAGGCTAAGAGTATAAATCAAATTGTGCTCCAAAGTCACATTTTTTATCGTAGAGGTATTTTGCATTTTATATAGTAATTTGTCCCTTGCTAAAAGTCTCCTGGTTTTTTTTTATATAGCCTATATGACCAAAAGGTAGCCTATGCTTTGCCACATAATAGTTGTAGTGTGTAAGTTCTGTTGCCAAGTCATCCGATTAGATGGGTTAGACCATGCAAAGATTAAGCAAAGGGTTTGTCTGCTGCACTCCCTATTTCTCCCAGAATGCTTAGCACAGGGCCTTGAGCACAGAAAACACTTCACTGTTGAAGAATAAAGAGGAGCAAAGTTTACAGGTTTCTTCTTAGGGATTCTAAACAATGGTACCCTCACTGGGTAAACCTTATTCTAATCACTAAACTGGTGTGTTAAAAGTCTCTCTGACATTCATTGTCAAATGGAATCTTAACTGATGTCGAGCTGGCAACAAGGGGTGTGATTCCAAGTGTGACTTCAGTGTGTAGTAGCAGGGCTCATGGGCAACTAGGAAGGGAAACTGAGTGCAAGATGACTTGGTTTGAGCCAACCCTCTGTACCATCTTAGGGCATGGAGAGTTGACAGTGGGGCTGGAAGATACAAAGAAGACTTATTACTAACCTAACAGCTGTGAAAGCTTCTCAGCCCTGGACAACTGACCTGAGATTTAGGGGCTTTCATTTCCATTTTTGCAAGATTAAGACATTGAAGGATATGACTGTTCAGCTCAGATCTACAAGCTCTACATTTTGAGTTGTTGCTTGTTAGGGTGTATTTTAGTTTTCTAAACCTCATCTGGCAAGATGGCCAACACACTGAAAGTTCAAAGTCAATAGTCCGAGACAGATGTCACACAGTCAAGGATAATGTTGGTTCAGTAGTTAAAGAATGGTCTTGGAATCAGAGATTCTAGGTCCAATTGCTATTTGCACTACATTTGGGGGAGATGAATTTAGACAAGCTGTGAAATGGAGACAAAACTATCTACAGAAGATAAGGCAAGGGCTTGGCAGAGTGCAAGGACAAACGATCATTTTCCTTGTCTCGGGGGCTGCTATTTGCAAGAGACAAGAATGAAGAACAATGAGCTTCATCAGGAAAAGTCTTGATTAAACGACACAGGACCGCTCACTGGGTCATGAGAATGGCTGAGTGCCCAAGTAGGGAACATAATGGGGAGAGACTGGCTCGAAGTCTAATTTTTTTTTCACTTTCATAGTCTCCTTTTGACTTCTCTCTGACCGCTATCTTCCTCCCCCACTCCTTCTGTAGACCGGCCTTCTTGTTTCTCTTATCCACTTGGTATGTAGTCATCATAGCTTCTCCTGACAACAGTCCCGTGCCTACCAGAGAGCTCAGCTCTCTCCGGCTGACTGACGTAATGTCATGGGCACACACGGCAATATCTTATTGGCCCAGCTTCGATTAGGGTGGGCTCTCGGTCTAATCTGCTGAGCGGCCGATGTTGAGACGAGCTTCTCTATTCGCAGTGTGATGTGCAGTCTGGCTGGGGAGGGCCAGTGGTATTCTGGTGTACCATTCCACTGTACGTGTCACTCTTCAAAAGAACACACAGGGAGTTCACTCCTGGTGTACAGACAATTCTAACCAGTTAGGTCTTCTGTTTGCATCATTGGTCATACGGTAGGGGGCTGGGAAGAGGGCCCCAGGGGGAAATACACTGACAGCGTACAATGGCATGGTCCAGGGGAATCTTGAAAACATAAGGCCATTTAAACAAACTTTAAATAAGGAACTGTCAAAAGGAGCACTTATATGGTTTACACATTAATAGGTTTCAAGCTTTCACTGCAGCATCAAACCTATACATTTTAAGGCTATGTTTCATCATCTGCATTTGTAAAAGGCTACATTTAATTTAAAAAAATCAAGCAACTCTGTTGACAAGGTATACTAAAATACGATCCACCCAGTCACCATTCATTCACTCAGCAAACATTTCCTGTGTGTTTATTATGTTGCAGGCACTGCTGGGGTGCAGTCTTAAAGGAGAAGCAGGGATACACCTGAAAGTCAGCAATTACAATGGAGGCAGGTGGATGCGTTTGAAAAGACATCGTCAGGGCATTGTGAATGCTTGAGACAGCAACACGGGAGCGTGTATGTGGGTAGAACTGTGGCAGTGATGAGCTCAGAGGGGAAAGGCGGAAGGGCATTTTCTGGAATGGGAAATAGCACGACAGATACCAGAAAGAGGCGAGCTAGCAGGGTCTCGCGGAGGGCAAGTCTCTTCTGTGTGGGATGAATGGACGGGCATGTCAGTGCTAGGCCGCAGAAATGAGCCAGAGTCTGATGTAAAGGAGCCTTATGGGGCTAAATGAAGGAATGTGAATATCTAAAATTCACAGGAGGCCTGAGGATGAAGAGGAGAGTGACATACACACTTTTGTGCATGAGGAAGGATTTTCCCAATCAGGCAGGAGGAGAGCTGGGCTTGTGGGTGCAGCATCAGGAGAGCCACAAGGAAGTAGAAGTTGATTCAGGAATGCAAAGGAGGGGTTGGCACATGCCTTTAATGCCATCTCGGGAGGCAGAGATAGGTGGATCTCTGTGGGTTCGAGACCAGCCTACTTCCAGGACAGCCTCCAAAGCCACGGAGAAATCTTGTCTCAAAAAAACCAAACCAAACAAACAAACAAACAAACAAAAAAAGGGAGGGTTTGGCTTTGCTGAGACGACACTGAGGCTGCTGAGTAACTTGTATGTTCATGGGGATAGAGACAGAGAAAAAGGCACACGGATAAAGGGGGAGACCTAGAATGAGAAGAGTCTGGGACTTCAAGTAGGAGACACACCCAACAGTTGTAGGAGTATCTGGAGATAAGCGATTGTGACTTACCGCCCTGGGAAATGCAGCTAGGGTTCAGGAGTGGATGGCTGGAGGCTCGGGACAGACAGTCAAGAGAGCAGGAGAGGAATGGGGGATACAAGGAAACAGGCCTTGAGGCAAACTGAGGAGGAAGACTATCTAGGTAGATAAACATCTCTTGTGAGAAAAAATGAAGAGAAGTTTAGGAAGGAGGAAGTAAGAGCATACAGCCCATGGAAAGCAGGTTCAAGAACGGAAGGCATGAACAACAGCTTTGGAAATGGGGTCACCGAGCACAGCTTTTCTGGTGAGATGGGGTGGGAAAGCCCCGGGCAAAGGCAGGGGTCAGAGGAAGCAAAGACTTCCAACACAGACACTTTTCCAAGAAGCTTGCCTAGGAAGGAAGGGAGAAAGGAAGGGAGGAAGGGAGGAAGGAAGGGAGGAAGGGAGGAAGGAAGGAAAAAGAACAGTCGCTAAAAAGTCAAGTGGAATTATTCATGTTAATTAGATGCAGAGAGAGCACCCACAGTTAGGGAGAGGAAGGAGATTGATGGAGAAGGGTCCTGGAGGAGAGAGGCAAGAGAGATCCAGAGCAGAGGCGGAGGGATTGTCCTCAGACATGGGAAAGACAGCGTTTTCATTGAGATAGGAGGGAAAGAGGGAAGGATGGGGAGGGACAGATAAGTGTGTAGGTGGCAGGGGAGGAAATTGAGAGTGTTCTCGATTGATGGCCTCAATTTTCTCAGGGAAGTAGGAGGCAAGGTGATCCGTAGAGTGGTGTGGGGAGGCAGTGGAGCCTGGGAGAAGAGAACGCTAGTGGCACATAACCTCTAAGAGCGATGCAGGCTGGGCTGCTGGAGCATGGGGAAAGACTGACGTCACCCAGAATAACCTCTAAGAGCGATGCAGGCTGGGCTCTGGAGCATGGGGAAAGACTGACGTCACCCAGAATAACCTCTAAGAGCGATGCAGGCTGGGCTGCTGGAGCATGGGGAAAGACTGATGTGGAATCCAGAATAACCTCTAAGAGCGATGCAGGCTGGGCTGCTGGAGCATGGGGAAAGACTGATGTGGAATCCAGAATAACCTCTAAGAGCGATGCAGGCTGGGCTCTGGAGCATGGGGAAAGACTGACGTCACCCAGAATAACCTCTAAGAGCGATGCAGGCTGGGCTGCTGGAGCATGGGGAAAGACTGATGTGGAATCCAGAATAACCTCTAAGAGTGATGCAGGCTGGGCTGCTGGAGCATGGGGAAAGACTGACGTCACCCAGAATAACCTCTAAGAGCGATGCAGGCTGGGCTGCTGGAGCATGGGGAAAGACTGATGTGGAATCCAGAATAACCTCTAAGAGTGATGCAGGCTGGGCTGCTGGAACATGGGGAAAGACTGACGTCACCTAGAATAACCTCTAAGAGTGATGCAGGCTGGGCTGCTGGAGCATGGGGAAAGACTGACGTCACCCAGAATAACCTCTAAGAGCGATGCAGGCTGGGCTGCTGGAGCATGGGGAAAGACTGATGTGGAATCCAGAATAACCTCTAAGAGCGATGCAGGCTGGGCTCTGGAGCATGGGGAAAGACTGACGTCATCCAGAATAACCTCTAAGAGTGATGCAGGCTGGGCTGCTGGAGTAGGGGGAAAGACTGACATCATCCAGAGCATACAGCTGAGTTGAGAGGATGCCTGTCTGTTGTGTCTCAAGCTTGCACAACTGTGATATTTTCTCCCATGGCTTTGACAAGTCTAGGCAGGGTAGCGAGAGACTGAATTGTTAGACTTAACCAAGGCTGCGTTTTCTGCAGGCCTGGGGTGTCACCGAAGCTTAAGAGGGTCAAGGAACCGTTGGATACTGGGTATTGAGGGGAGACGCTTGAAGTGGTGAGCTAGAGGATGAAGATGGAGAGAAGGACACGCGATCCAAACAGTTTGCTAGACCAGATCAAGATGTGAAGAGTTCTGGCTTACTCAGGCGGTGTTCAGAGGATGAAAAGGGTGACAAGCCACCGGTTGACACACAGTTGGAGCAGAGGTCTACCTGAGAACTTTGAACTCTGTCCCACCTCTCTATAGAAGCCGTTCTTCCTGTTCCTTCTCCATCCAAAGCATTTCTCCAGGGCCCCCGCCTGCCTTCTTAGCAGATAGCAGATAGCCCAAAGAACATTAAGACTTGACCTCATTGCAAGAGTCCTGACACCTGGAATTTAACACGTGTAAGTTCCATGACCCTGGCCACAAATGTGAGCCACCAAGCAGTGGTTTTCTTGACCAGTATAACTTACTTGGGAACAGACTGGTCTATCCATGTGACTTACGTGCAGGGTTAATGGTTGCTTACCCATCACACATGTTTCTGTGGTTCCTTTGTCTGTTTTCCATCTTTCCATGGGAATAGGGATGGGAAGAGCAAAACACTCTTTGCTTCATTAATCTTCCTGAGCCTGTGTTTATTCTAATCACCTCAAACCCAGATCTGAGAATAGCAGGTCTGGGCAGCTTGTCATGCCATGGAGGCAAATAGGCAGAGAGGAAAGGAATAGGACTTTGAAAACCTGAGCTGTGCTTTCTGACTGAGGTCAGCAGAGATAGACCAAATCAACAAGCATGACATGAAGGGCAAATTTGCAATTAAAAGAAGAATAGGGAATTATAAAGATGGATGGGCCCCGTGACACGCATGCCCAAGCCTCCGTGGCCTTGGCCTCTGATGCCAGAAATTAATGCTTTACTCTTTAGCCCTCGTCACCTTTGGCTCCGAGTAGAAAGGCAAACGCATTAAAAATCACAACAATTAGAACACTTACTTAGCTTGGAAGGCGTTGTTGGTTCCCCTGTGGTCGAGGTCATGACACAGGCATCCCACAATCACCGCTAAAATTTCCACCTCCGTCAGAATCTCTTGAAACCCAGCAGTCTGGGAAGAAGGGGACAATGGCAAGTCAGTGCCAGGGGCAGGGGCTCTGGGGAACTCAGTCAGCTGAGCCTCAGTCGGCTGGTTTCATGCCCACACCATTTAAGGAAATGATTAACTGTCACCCTCTTAGATGACAATGCGTTGAGTGGTCAGTTGCTCAGCCTAAGGTCCTCACAGTGAGGGACTCACTTGCTGTCACAGAGTTCAGTCTGCTTCATTCCCTTCTATAGAGAGGAGGTTGTGTTCTCCACACCGACAGTTTGGGAAAGGCCCAGAGTGAAGTGTGTCTCGCCGTTGCACACAATAGGATAAGCATTGCATTTGGAAGTGGGGGGGGGGAATGAGGGGACCTTCAAAACTGAAAAGCTCTAGCCCCTAACTGCTACTCAAATGAGAAACAGCAAACACAATAAAACCTTCCTTTATAGTAAACGGAGGAGCAGAGAAGTACTCAAATTGCTGCATGATGAAGTTCTAGAAATATCTTACAAATCCCTCAATCCATATTGAGTTGGCAGATTAAAATGCACACAGGTGAATCCTAGAAACGGGTTTGGCAGAGGAGTAGACAACCAGGACTGAGAATCAAGGGAAGGATATGTGATTTTGAGGGCTTTGTTTCTGATCCCAGTAGCTGTGTGAAGTACATGGCTGGGTGTAATTCCTCCCGGAGGCAGTTGGATATCATTATGGGCACAGAACGCACCAGTTGCAGCTGGCCCTTTCATTAGTTTGGAGGAGGAAATGCGCCTTTGGGAGAAAGATCTGTACGTCCTCTACCATCCGAGGCCTTACCGCCCCCTCCCCCTTACAGTGTGAGTCTCTGGTTCCACTACTTATTAAATTCTTTATCAGAGGGTAGGAGGAGGGGAGTCGGCTTGAAATTACTTTCTAGGTATGTTTCTCCTCCACAAATCTCAGATCACGTGCTAATACCTGTAAGACTCTTTTAGGGCAATGAAAACCTTGGTTTTTTTTTAATTAGTTGTGGTTTTAATACAAAAATAACTAAAACTGACTTGGAAACACATGTGACATCACTTACATAACAAGTAGGAATGTTAATAAATTGTCTAGGGCTATGAAGTAGTCCTTGCCTATGTTTCACCTTAAAACTTGCTGGATACGAGTTTTTGTTTATTTTATTACCTGTAATAGTTTTCTTAAACCATACTAAGAAACATAAAGCCAGAGCTCTTATTGTTCATATTCTAAAGGCAACCAAATTCATTGTTTAACTAAATTGGTGACATTTTTACCGTATTGCTAAACACTATCTATACATTTTGGCACTTGTTATTCATCAAATACTTACACAGTCTTTCCTATGTCACTATAAAGTCCCCTAAGAGTTTTCAACTGCTTAACCTACTTAACATTTTTTCTAGTCTTATGAGGCAATAGCTACGATTATCCTGTTACGAATGGGGAAATTGAGTCACAGAGAAGCTCCATCCTGTTCCAAAGGTCCCACAGCTAATGCAGGGCAGAGGAGAGCACATTCCCACACCCCTTCTCAAGTGTGCCTTGAAACATTGATGGCATAGTGTCAGATGAGAGGTGACCGTCGCAACACGTCCCCTCCATTCCCAAGGTAACCATGATCACCTTATAAATTCTGCCCAGCTGACGAATACACAATGCTATATTCTTAAATACTTTCATTTCCTGAAGTTCAGATTTCTTTGAAATAGCGACGCCTTTCCATATCCTACATGGCTTTATTAAATGTCTATTAAGCAGTTGTGAAGAGAGTCAAGCATCTCACACGTCTTATGTGTCTCTTATGTCCTGGAGGTAGCTAGGTCTGCCTTGTCCCCTGTCAGGGCTTCTGCTTTCCTCTCCTGGGGATGATCTCTATGTCTTGCATCCTATGCCTTTCCTCGATTTCTGCCCTCATTTTGCAGGACCACATCTGTCAGTCTTCATGAGAAAGCATGTCCATTTTTGGGGAGTCACTTGTTCTAAGGCTCTTGCGTGACTGGGACTGGTATGGGGACATTTTTCTATTTTCACACTAAAACTGTTAGTTTGCCTAACAATTATGGGAGCAAATAATTTCTCTCAGAATTCTTAAAGACTGACTACCTTATTGTCTTGTTTGCAAAGTTGATTTTGGGAAGAATATGCTATTCTTATTCCTAACATTTTGTGGGTTAGGTTTGCCTCTGAGACTCCTTTTCATTCATGGTGCTTAGTGATGTCACAAAGACACGATTAGTTCAGTGTTTTCTTCTTGTTGGGTTTACATTGCAAATCTATGTCTCCAGCACAGCATTCCTCAAATCTTTTTGTTGTTTTTCTGCAGTATATTTTTATTACATTTATTTGTTTACCTAATGTTTACATTGTGCATATGTATGGGTGTGCCATGGAGTGAACATGGCGGTCACTTTCAGTTTGTTCCCTTGTGGGAACAGTGGACTGAACTAAGTTTGCAGGCTTCGCTACAGGTGCCCTTCCTTGCTGAGCCAGCTCACTGGCCCTTCAATATTTTTTCCTGTCCTATCTGAGTGGAACTCCAATAGGCTGAGTACCAATTCTATTTTTTTTAAAGATCTCTTCTCTTCCGTTTCCTGTATAGACTTTTCCTTCTTTCATTCATTCATTCATTCATTCATTCATTCATTCTTTCTTTCTTTCTTTCTTCCTTCCTTCCTTCCTTTCTTCCTTTCTTTCTATGAGTTTTAAATTTATAAGCATTTTCTGCTCCTTTTATAATCACATCTGTTCTTTTTCCACAGACATATTAGCTCTTTTCCTACCATCCTGAAGAAATTAATAACATTCCTGACATTTTCTTCTACTGCTTTGAGTCGCCTGTGTCCTCTGAGCCCTTTCTTTTTTCTTTGTGCTCTCTCAAATGTCTTTCGATGATTATTCACACGTAGACATGAAGGGATCTGAAGCTCATGCTGCACCAGGGTGGGTGTGAGGTGCCTGCAGGTTGCCAGACGTTACCATAGGGCGACCGAGTGTCTGCCTGGTCTTTTGCTAGAGATCCCCAAATACTAGATCTAAGCTCATGTCTCTGGACTCTCCAGTCTGTTGCCTAGAACGACATTGTAAACACTGGGACAAAAAGGAGCTGTGGCTTTCCGTCCTGGAGGCCAGAGGCTTTCACAAGACCTCTACTCTGCTTATCCTGTTCTCTTGCTGGGATCCTCAAGGATGCTCTTATTTTCCCTCCAGCAAATACTCTGGCTCCTGAGCAAGTTGGGGTAAGAGCAGATCTTCAACTATATAGGGGGGATAGGGACTTGGGGACTCATCATTTCATTGTCGTCCCAATGTACCTATCTTGTGACCTCCGAAGTGTCTGCTTCCCAAGCTTCAGCAGGTCTTGGAACTGTTCACATGTATGCCCCTTCTCCCTCTACCTCTGCCCCGAAGGCAGAGGGCTGGACCTCGTTCTCTACTGCTGGGTTATAAACTATCATTCTCCCACTATTTTCCACCTTTGTCACTGAGTTTTTATACATTAACCTTTTCCTTTCCCCTTCCCTTGAAATTCCACAGCTGGCTCTACAATTGTTTATTTCACGAATACTTTTGAGAATTTAATGAGATACATGAACTCCTCTTTCTATAAAATCTTATGATTTCATATGACTCCAAGGCTATGCAGTTCATCTCTGGACCCTCAGAATAAAGAATCCTTGAAGCTCGACGCAGACATGGCCGCACCAGGCATATTTACCTCTTCTGGCTCTGGTACCTGAATTACTGAAGCAGCACCTAGCTCTTGACTGTGATTTAAAGCTGCCTGGTAAATGGTTTCTGAGAATCATCAGGCCTGAAAAGTGTCCACCTGCCACTAAGTTTCTATTTGCTCCTCCCCACTCATCCATCTTCCTTCAGCGCCATCCATCCAGACCTACATTTACCCATCTCAAGCAGAAAAAGTCAGCTGCCTGCTGAAGATAATATACTTTCAAAAAGAAAACAGAGAGGCAGGGGAAGTATGTCTTGATGTATTTATTTCTTGACTCTAGCTTATTATTCTATTTTCAAATAAAATTATGTCCCTCTTCAATAATTATGAGTTTTCTTGACCTTTGTGTTAATAAATCCTCTCACTTGCATTCTCTCATGGTGTATATCAGAAACACGAGCAAAAAATATGTCTAAGTAAAGAGACAGTCAGGTGTATATATCTAACCCTCAAGCCACCGGTCAAGCAAAGCCGTGTTATTGCCCTTTGACCTGGCCTCCAGTGGCAGGCATTCAAGGGCTGACATGTTTTCTGGGATAATTCTTCCCCTACCTCCTACAGAAGACTTTGAAATACCCAAATCAGTAAGCTTCCTCCTCAGGTTCTGCTCGGCTACCAGTGAGTTTCTGTCAGTAGCCAACAAAAGACTCTAAGGCAGTTAGGACATGTCTTCTTTGTGAAGCTGAGTCTGCATAGCAGTGATGCACGACTGTCCCAGACAAAGAAAGTGACTATTGTGGCAGTTGAATTCAAACGGTTGCGAAACACAACAGCCGCAGCATCAGCCCTAGGTAGTGCTGTGGAGGAGTGTTTCATTTAATGGCTGTTACTAGGTACTTGCTGTGTATCAAGCAGCTGGTATGTTTGAGAAAACAGGCTTGGGAAAAACTAACAATGATTAACACTGTCATAGTGCTCAGTGTCTGCCAAGCACGCTTCTAAATATGTCAGCTTCACGAACCCTTACGAGAACCCTCTAGGTAGATGCTGTTCTAATCTTCCTATATAGTAGATGTGACAGATGACAGGTCTGAAATAGCAGAGGTGGGATTAGAACCCAGGCAGCCTGGCTCATGAACTCCCTCTATCCATGAGAGTACGGGGACAGATGTGCAGGTTTTAAGTGCTGTGGACAGGGAGTAGGGCTTCACAGCTAGCACTGCAAAGCCATTTGACACTTTCAGTCTAAACTGGCCTCTGGTGCACCAGATCAACCTGATAGCATGCAGCATTTTGCAAATGAGGCTCGATAACTGGGTAGTGGTGGCACACGCCTTTAATACCA